GCACAGCTCGCACTGAATGTTTAATAAACAAATACAATGTCACAGACTCATATTTCACGTAAACATTATAATTGCTTCACATAAAAAACCATCAACACACTCACACTCGCCCACACACACACACACACACACACAAACACACACCTATTCTTCTCAGCATAATGGAACAAAAAACAATTTTCTGTCCATAACCTGCCAGGTGGATAAGCTAGCAAAACACACAGAAAACAATACACCACATACCTGTAAAACATCCAGTGGGGTCCAGAACCTTTTTATTTTAGCCTGGAAAGAAACAGAAACATGTACAATTTGAAAAATTTTGAATGAATGAATTATATTTATAGCTGCAGGGGACAAAGTGTATACCAAGACATTTTGAAATTCATCTCATTCAAATTTTTATGCTGAAAAATATATATTTTTTAACATTACAACAAAAAAACATTTAAAAAATGTCATATTTAAGAGTAGTCTCAGACTTCTGGACCCCACTGTACACATTTTTATCCATATGGTTTGAAACACCCTTGAGTCACTTGCAATGCTCTTGAGACTTGTGAATTTTACAGTACAGCACGTCATTTCATTTTTGGTGGTTTGAAGTGTTACTTTTAGATTTTTGTATACTTCTCTATGTGGGGTCTTCACTTTGCCTTCTGTTTATTTTGACAGCATTTTCATACCAGTGGGGTGCATGTGTGTTTGCGTGTGTATGTGTGTACTTACGTGTACACACTTGATGTGCAGAACTGTATTGTAGTGTGTGTGTTTGCCTACCGGGTGAATGACTCCAACCCTGCAGAGTTTGACTGATGTTCCTCATTCTAGCATGCAAGTAGGAGGTGGGCAACCCAACACAATGCACCGTAATTTTAGACCAAACTGCCAGGGCCTTCACAATGCGTCTGTTCTAAGGAAAGAGGCATCTAGGGACATGAAGCAGAATAGAGTGGGAGCTCAATTCATTCCCCATTCCAAGACACGAGCACAATGTTTTGTGTTTCTGAAACGTTTATTGATGGAAAATCAGCTCAGTGCAGCTTATAAATATTGTGTTTTCAGCAATATGATTTGCTGCGTATAAGGCCCCAAGACAATGACTATATTGGATGTCATTGATTTTACATTTAAACATGGTTCCAAGAAATCAGATGATAAAATATGAATTGTTCCATCCTCATAACTTTTTTTATGCATTAAATTATAGCTTGAAGAGGGGGCGAGGGGATGTCTCATTATGTCTCAATGTGTCAGAGCACGTATGCTAACTGATAGGCTACATTGATGGGAACTTTTGTGCAAATAAAGAGTCCTAAGGCCAGGTCACACTAAGAATTATCATTACAAATATAACTATGTTAGAGACCACACCAACTCATCAGTCATTCTCAAAATGATTCCAACAATATCGTTCCATTGTGCCATTGTAGTTGTGGTGTGGACTCTGCTATTTATTAAAATTTAGAACGATTTTTAAAAGTATATCTTTATCATTACACTCCTTGGTGTTGAAAGGGTCTTCAAAGGAATAGTTCATCCAAAAATGAAAATTCTGTCATAATTTAATCACACTCATGTTGTTCCAAACCTGTATGCAAGCAACATGATGGTCAATAAATGATGAAACATTCACGGGAACGTTCACAGCCTTATGCAAATGAAGAGTCTTAAAAGTATAATTCACGGAAAAATGAAAATTCTGCCATTATTTAATCACCCTCATGTTTTTTCAAACATGTATGCCAACAGCAGGAGGGCTAATAAATGATGACAGAATGTTCATTTTTGGGTGAACTATGCCTTTAAGCAAAAGTAGTCTTTTAGCTTGTGTATAAAAGTGGAGATTAATCCATATGGAGCCTCTGAGACCCTGGCAGAAGAAGCTGGTGCGTAATTTAATTTCACCAGCACCTAAAGGAGATTACGGCTATGATGGGATTCCAGAGGGCCAGGTAATATCTATCTCATTAGAACTGCTCTCCCAAGCATTCACACAAGCTCTTCTATGGGGCGGCAGTCGGCCCTCTCTCCTTTGCTTGTTCCCGCTGATTGACCTTAGAAGGGTGCTGGAGTGGAAAGACCCCCATGGTTGTTAGGTAGCGAGGGTCTTCTTTAAAACCCAGACCCAGCTGCCCACCCAGCCGAGATGATGGAACATATTTAAGGGGCTAATGGTCTGGCTTGCACAAAGAGCCTGCCTCATTTAACAGCATCAGAAAATAGACTTCAGAGAAGAGGTTTAACCCCGTTAGAGGGAGGGCAGCAAGCTCCTTAACCACATCAGGGATGGGAGTGAAAAGTCAGGCTGAGGGAGATAAGAAAAGAAAAGAGGGTGTCTTGGAGAAGCTCCCAAGTAGTTGGGATAAGAGCCGACTGCACGAACACAGAATCCAGCAGATATTTTCAGCATTTCGCCAATTTCATTGATAGTGAATGTGGAGGAAATGATGGAGAGAAAAAGGGAGAATAGGATCAAGGCTTGACGCAGGCCAGATGCAAACCCAAATTTTCCACTTGTGTAACATATATTGGTTTTGAAACAAGTGTCACTATACTACTACGCATTCAAGAACCCAGCAGGATCTCTGTTTTTTGTCTCTCATACCACTTTGCAGTCTCTTTTTTTAATGAAAAAAAAAACATTTTCAGCACAAATCAATAATTCATGCTCATTTATTTACTATAGTGGCTGCATTAAAAAGAAATGGATAATGTTCAGTCAGCCCTCTCTGAATAAAGTACTAATCACTCTTTTAGGGGTTTATTTTACAATCTGTTGTCCTTTAAAGGGATAGTTGGCTCAAACATTTCATTATTTACTCACCTTCATGTCGTTCCATGCCTGCAAGACTTACTTTCTTCTCGGAAATACAACATAAGATATGGACACACTTTATTTCACAGTGTATAACAGTAAATTTTGCAACTGATCCTCAACTAAATCCATTATACATTATAGTAAGTACATGTTGTAATTATCACTCAGTACTTATTTGTGTAATTACTCTTTAAAAAGGACAACTTACAATTTAGGGTTACTCTTTATTTTAAGGTGTCCTTGTTATACATTTAAGTACTGAGTAATATTAATTAACTACATGTACTTACTATATGGTTAGGGTTAGGACTAGGGTTTAATTTATTGTTACTTGTATGTAATTATGCATAATTAATTGTTATTATAATAGTAAGTACATGTAACATGTGACAAGGACACCTTAAAATAAAGTGTTACTGAAAATAACCGAAGATATTTTGGTTTTATTCGTCTATACAATTGACTGACTTCCACTGTATAGACAAAATAAGGTGAGACATTCTTCAAAATATAATTTGTTGTTCACAAGAAGAAAGAAAGTCATAGATGTTTGGAAGGACATGGGGGCCAGTAAATTATGCTGAATTTTCATCTTTGGGTGAACTATACCTTTAAATGCATGTATGAGTCAGATGTCAACTTGTATTTTTAAAAGTTGATTGCGCTTATTTTAACATTCAGTGCACTGTGCATTGCCCATTTGTGCCCATAAATCTCTGCACAGCTTTATGCTTCCCTTCCTGGCAAATCCATTCACTCACCCACAGCTGCGAATTGCCGTCATACTGAGCAACAGATATGAGGCAGGCAGCCGTAGCGGTTCACATGAAACAGATTTCAACAGAGCCGAAATCTCATCCCTATCCGCTTCACATCCATGATGGCCTGTGCGCATATGTGTGTGTGAAGTTCAACCATCTGAGCCCCGCTAATGAGCAGAGCTCATTTCCCTGCATTTGGAACAAGCCCGTCAAGGGAGTCGTCACTAACCGGGCATTAGTTTGCGCGAGAATCCGTGCACGCTCATGAACATTTGTGTACCCATGTAAGCGAATGTGCCTGCCCTGGAGGGGGTCAAGCCGATCGCTGACACGGTGTGAAACAGTCTCAATGAGATGCGTTCAAGGGGGCCAGCGAGAGCCCGCTGGTGAAAATCACACAGAGTGGAGCTAATGAGCACGGCTCTGCAAATATAGGAACGTGCCAGGAAATACCCAGCCCTTTTGAAACCACTCTCAGCACTTTAACTTGGGGGCCTCTTGCTCTTCTGAGAGCTCCGGCCTCCTCTGGGTTTTTTCCCCGTGCTGCTTCGCCATCCGTCTTATCTGCATCTGGAGCTCAGAAGCGCAGCAGTCACGCTCCGCCGAGAGGAGAGTGTTGAAGTGTGTCTTGCATCTCCCGAGGCTGTTATCTTGAGGTTGATGAGCTCTTTGCTCTGCGAACATTACCCCGACTGCACCTGCCACAATCAAAGTGCTTTCGCCCTGTTTTGCAATTGAAGTCACACCTGATCAAAAGAGCTAGCGTGGTCCGCCATTTAATGAGATCAACTCCATTAGTAGCGTTTCTTTCTATCTCTCGATGCAAAAACCCGGAGAAACATCCCTGCAGGCGTTGAATCACAGTGACCCTGCTCACAGTAAGCTACCTGCCTCTGACACTGTAATTAGCTCCATCAGGCATTAGCATGCGTCTCGCTGAGCAGGAATAGCTGTCTGGTCCGTGCCGTGTTTGCCCACCTTTGGCAGAATAAATGCATGCAGAAGTAGGTGCTGGGCTGGGGGCCGTGGGGCTGGATTGATTGTCCGGTGTGTCGGCGGGTGAAGAGTGCGGCTGTAATCAGCTCAATCAGCCCCGGGCTCGGATCGGGGGTTACGTGCGTTGAGTGGTTGTAGCAAGAGCGACTCTGTTTAGCTCATGCTTCGGCAGACACAGGTGCTCCTGGTGACATCAGCATAGCGAGGGTCACATAAGGACTATAATTTAGCCAATCAGGGACCGGCAGGGGCTGTCTGGCACTCTGATGGGTTCATCAAGATACTCCCGCGCTTTGTGTAATGGAGCAGAGCCGTGCATACGCATGCACACACATGCAAAATGGAAATACTTTTCCCACTTACTTTGATGTTCTTGCATTTAATATTCTGTTTCTCTCTTCTCTTTCTTTCTCGTTCTGCAGCGGGAACCACATACATATTCGGACGTGATGGAGGGCTCATTGTGTACACATGGCCGCCCAACGACAGACCGAGCACACGAGCTGACCGACTGGCTGTCGGCTTTAGCACCCAGCAGAAGGATGCATTGCTGGTTAGGGTGGACAGCTCTTCCGGCCTAGGAGACTACCTGCAGCTTCAGATTGTGAGTCTTACACAAACACACACATACTTATTGTTGGGTTACAAACTTTGAGGCCACTAGTAAAAATGCATCCTTTTTTCAAAGCATAATGGTGTGTTCAAACCATACGCGAATGTAATTATTTGCGTGAGTAGATGCATTTTAGACGAGAATAGAGGCAAATTCGTGCCGGGCGACGCGAAATGCGCGACACGTTTGCCGTGAACGCACGATATTCGCCTCAATGGCGTCTTTCGCGCAAGTTCAAAAATTTCAACTGGAGCGGAAAATTTGTGTGACACGTTCTCACGCAAGCCAATCAGCGAAGAGCTTCTTGACACGTCCAGTTGAATCAGACAGTGGAAGAGAGCATTATTGTAGCCGTCAGTTACTATATAGATCTGGAGCATAGAAAACAATTAAAATCAGTTGTAGTGGTAGTTGTATGTTATTAGCATTGCTACAGAGATGCTGCTATCAGTAATAAAAATAATAGTAATATCAGTGTATATATACAGTAATAAAATGTAACACACACATTAATGCAGGATCCTAACTTTACTCATCCTCCTCTGGATGGTGCTGTGAACCCAGACACGTCGGCATTTGGCTTTCCATTGTATTTGGGACTTTTTGACAACAGGTAGAAAACAGCGATTGTAGTTATCTCCACCATGGTTGATCGCGCTGTTTTTATTCGCACGAGTGACACGGAAAACATCCCGCGAGTAATCTAGAGCGAATGACGCGATGCGCATATTCACTTCGCGTCTGGTGTGAACACACCATAACAATTCAAGTGAAAATTTTATTTCAATCAATTATATGAATTTCAGATTTTCTTGGTATTTATTGCAACCCTCTTTCTCTTTAATGCAACAGCAACAAGCTGCATGAATTCCACAAGTTTGTGTCAAACCTGATGATCTTGTTATCTAGCATTATTTGAGAATTATCCAGTGAGTAGAAAGAACATCTGACCGACTGTGCAAAGAGTCGCATGATAGGTGCCACAAATATAGTAATTTAGACCAGAAACTGTTGCAGAATCTTGAATACACGTAAAGAATATTGGACTTGATACTAGAAATAACTAGTACATTTAACAAATATTTGAAAAGAATCTGCAAGTACATATTGATTTGAACTTGGTGAGTGAGAGTATTTTCTTGTAAAATGTACTCCATTAAACTTTGTTTTATTTTTAACTCTGAATTTTGTTTACATCTTATGTCATGAAAATTTGGTGTTGAAACTTAGAAATTGTTACTAAATTTCACAAATAATTACAACGATTCTGCAAATAACACATTGATTTAAACTTGGAATTTTGAAGCAGAAAGAGTGGGAGTATTGTCTTGTAAAATGCACTCCATTAATCTTTGTTTTATTTTTTAACTCTGAATTTTAATTTATTTAACAGATTATGTCATGAAAATTTGGTGTTGATACATTTTTACTCAGAAATTGTTACTAAATTTCACAAATAATTACAATGATTCGGCAAATAACAATTGATTTAAACTTGGAATTTTGAAGCAGAAAGAGTGGGAGTATTGTCTTGTAAAATGTACTCCATTAATCTTTGTTTTATTTTGATTTAAACTTGGAATTTTGAAGTAGACTAGAAAAATAATTTTACGGTGTGGTTCTTGTTCATTTCATGTCAAAATTTCTGTTTTGTTTTAAATGTTTCAAAATCTTAAATCTTTATTTCCAGGTTTAAATGAAAAAATCCCAGAATTTCAATATGGTCTCAGACTTTTGGTCTCAACTGTTTGAACTTGCTCAAACCTACACAGATTCCCCTGAGAATTCCTGCTGTTCATTCATTCTCACACAAATCCCAGAGTAGAAATTCACAGAAAATCATGCTCCCGACGAGCCCTGTGAATGATCATTAGGGTAATCATAGTGTTCTACGCCTCCTCCAGCATTCAGAGTGCTGGTCTGTTTTAGAAAGTTCCAGCGCCTCAGACCGCCCTCATGAGTAAAATCTGTATAATGTTCAGAATAGAAGGCGCTACCAACGCTTGCTCAGAGGATGCTATTTGATAGAACCTGCATTTCCTATGACATGCTGTGCTGGAGGAGTGGGAGGTGGAGGAGGTGGAGGCAAGGGGGGCGGGAAAGTGTTTGGCACTGAGCTTCGAAGAGTTGTATGTGTTTTTATTTATTTATTTTTCCTGCGTTCTATTTTTTTGACACCCACTCCTGCTGTAATCACAAACTTGATTCCCAGAAGAATCAGCGAGCTCTCTCAGGGGTGGCATCATGGCGTGACTGTTGCACAACTGCTTCAGCAAATGCGTTCCGAGCGCGGTGAGGTAATGATTTCTCCAGCTGAGCCCTGGAGTTTACGATGCGTGCTGGTGTCTATATATGACTTCAGCTACAGTGCTGCAATGCCCTGATGTACGAAGTCACACTTTTATTTAAAGGGGTAGTTCACCTAAAAATGAAAACTCATTACTCATTACTCGCCCTCATCTGATTTATCGTACCAAATCTGTACGATTTTCTCTCTTTTTTCCCCCCCTAACATAAGTAATTTTATAAAAGAGTATGCTGACCATTCGGTTCAATTAAATAAAAGTAATTGAGAACTGAAAAAACTAATTAGGTTTGTCTATCTATCTTTTTATGATTTTATAATCCTTTTGTGTCCATTTTGACGCTTAAAGGCTTCAGTCCCCATCATTTTTTAACTGCAGGGAAAAGTGTGACCTAGTGTTAATTTTAGCAGCCATTTTTAGTCTTAGTCCTGTTTCAAATGTGCTTTAGTTATTACTGTATCATATTTAGTGAACTTTGTCCTGTTTTTGTTTAGTCGAGTTTTAGATGATGAAATGTCTGAGCATTTTAGTCTAGTTTTAGTCAATTAAAGGGGTCATATGATGCTTTTTTAAAGATCATTATTTTGTGTATTTGGTGTAACAGAATATGTTGACATGCTTTAATGTTCAAAAAACACATTATTTTTCAAATATAACACTCCAAAGAGAAAGGAAAACTTGAAATCGCATCATATGACCCCTTTAAATGATATTTTCGTCATGTTGTATAATGGTTGAAATGATAAAATTAGTTTTGCTCAAAATTATAATCGTAATGATTTTTGTCATTTGAGAAATTTACGTTTGAATTTCAGGTATTGCTCTTTCACCAGTAAAGCACAAATCAATAGAATGCTGACTCATACACATGGTTTACCTCATCTAGTGTACTGATATATTATGGCTATTATAGTATATTATATTTATTATTTATTATGCACGCTCTCTGTCTATATTATGAAAACTGGTAAAACAAAAAAAAGTGAAATTCCAATAATTAAATTTTGCAATA